ACTTATTTTTACAAAAATATTTTGTTATTTTTTTAGATTTGCCCTAATTTTTTGATGGGATTTCGAAAATTTTATTTAAAACTATTTTGTAGAAAAAATTGAAAAATAAAACAGTGCTTGGAGTGACATTGTAGTATGAACAATCATAACCGTTCAATTCAATCGAGGGCTAAAGAATGGGATCCCATATAACTTATATGTTGTTGGGGTCACGTAGAAACATTTATCTGGGTTGGCAGCCTCAAAATAATTGGGTATTTATTACAGAAATTAGTGGTGATTTGTCAGCCGAATCAAATAATTTTAAGTCCCTAAAAAATTAATGTCAAATTTACCCTCCATAATTGCATACATTGCACACCACTCATACACAACTTGCATGCCAATGCACTATGCATGTCTCTCACACACACACACCAATTGTTTACAATACTGTATATACATTGTATTCATGAATCTCCTCGATATATAGCTTCAGTTCCTCTCTAGTTGAAGCATACAACTCATTTAGAAGGTGCTCTCTCAACCATGAGCTTCTTCTTTGAATCTAAGATAAATGATGGAAACCAATGCTATGTTTGTCGAACCCCACACAAAGCGAACTGTATTACTACCACAGGTATGTAATATGATTCTGCTACCTTTTTGAGGCACTGTAAAGTTGCGTTAAGCATTAAGGTTAATTTTCATAAAACAACAATAGCTGGTATTAATTGCAGTGATGCTTTAGTCCAGAAAATGGCAGAGGTGTTGGGGTATAAAGTGGAGAACTTCCCCATCACGCATTTGGGGATGCCTATTTCAGACGGTCGACTTCCGATTGCTGTTTGGGACAAAATCATCCAACGGATTCAAGTGAAGCTTGATCTGTGGAAATTTAAATACCTTTTCCTTGAGGTGAAAGATAACCCTGGTCAAGTTATGTCTATCAAATTTACCTATTATCAGATGTCCATACTGTAAGTCTTTTTGCTAGTAGCTAAGAAAATTGAAACCCTAATGAGAAACTTCTTATGGGGTTCTTCTAGAGATTCTAGGAAATTTCATCTGTTAAGATGGGATAGGATGTGCACACTTAAGAGTGAAGGAGGTCTAGGAATAAGGAGAGTCAAACTTGTCAATCAGGTGTTGTTATGTAAGTGGTGTTGGAGGAGCTTAAATTTCAAATACCATTTGTGGTACAAAGTGATCACAGCAAAGTATAGTGTGGATAAGTTTAGAATGTGGGTTGGATTGAGGAATGCTACAAAAGAGATGTCTTATTGTTAGAGATCTATTCTTTCTTGTAGATCGCTCATTCACAAGGACATTCGATGGTCTTTAGGAGACGGACACAATATCTTTCTGGCATCACAAATGGTTAGGGTCTTCACCTTTGAAATATATGTTTCCTCTTGTATTTCAGAGGATGGCCAATCCCCATGCGCTCGTCTCTGACTATTTCGAACGCAGGGAAAACCAGATTATATGGAATATTAATGTTCCATACAATAGGATTTCAGACTCTCTCTTTGCTGAATTCTTTGCCTTATTGATGCTACATAATGAAGTTTATATTTCTCACAATGTTGTTGATGAGGTAGTGTGGGATATTGACAAATATGGAGATTATTCGGTTAAGTTGATGTACCAATTACTGTTTCATGATCGATGGAGGTGGACCATGCCTGAAGTCGCGGTGGTCTGGAAGTGGCCTTTACCTCTTAAGTACAAGCATTTATATGGCTAGCAGTTCAAAATAAGGTTCTGACAGTTGATAATCTAATCAAGAGGGGAAATATCTTACCAAATGTCTGTCTATTGTGTAGAGAGGACAGTGAATAGGTGCTCATTTATTTCTCCACTGTCCATTCACTTCTAAAGGCTAGAGTTGGTTTTTTTATTAGCTTGGGGTTGCAATAGTTATGCTGTCAAAGGTTGAAGGTCTACTTTCAAATTTGTCACTTCTTTTTTTACCTCAGTTAGGTTTGATAATATGGCAAATCACGAGAGGCGTGATCTTGTGGGAGGTGTGGAAGGAAAGGAATAGAAGAACTTTCGATGGGATAAGTCAGCGTTTTGAGAAAATTATAGACAAGATTTTTGCATTCGATTTGCCTTTATCTTTCCGTGACAAAGGAAGGACATGACATTTCAAAAGTGGATGTGAGAAGAAATCTGCCAAATCTTTTTCATATGGGTTTCATTAAATGCAAGCCTAAAGGAGGATGGGTTGCACCTTTGATGGGGTTTTTAAGCTCAATTTTAATGATAGTAGGGAACCTTGGGCTGAAGATGGGTTGCGATGGGGTTTTTAAGCTCAATTTTGATGGCAGTTCATTAGGGAACCCTGGGCTGACGGGCTTTGGAGGTGTGGTTAGAGACTGGAATGGTAGTATTATCTTTACTTATGCTGGTCCTCTTGGTTAAAGAACTGCTAATTATACAAAGCTTTATGCACTTCTTCATGGTTTAAAATTTTTGATGGCTAGGAATATGGGTCATTATTGTATCATTGAAGGGGATTCTCTAAACGTCATCAATTGGTGTAAAAAGAAGCAGAAATCTTGAAATCGGTCATCAATTGGTGCAACAAGAAGCAAAAATCTTGAAATCGGTGCTGCTACAAATTTGGACATCTACAAAATTTCAATTGGTGCAACAAGAAGCAAACATCTTGAAATTGGTGCTGGTACAAATTTGGGACATTGCTAGTTCATTTGTGTACTCCTTTTGTGCATGTTTATAAAAAAGCTAATGGGCTGACAGATTTTCTTGCAAAAGGGGCTACAAATTTGGGATATTGCTAGTTCCTTTGTATTCTCCTTTTGTACATATTTATAGGGAAGCTAATAGGCTGGCAGATTTTCTTGCAAAAGGGGCTACCGTTCTCCTTATGCATGTTTATAGGGAAGCTAATGGGCTGGCAGATTTTCTTACAAAAGAGGCTACCGTTCTCCTTTGTGTATGTTTATAGGGAAGCTAATGGGCTGACAGATTTTCTTGCAAAAGGAGCTACTGTTTTATCTAAGATTTTGATCTCTGACTCTGTAATCTTTTTTTAAAACTTTAATATAATCTCTGATTTCTTTCCAAAAAAAAAATAGTCCTTTCAATCATTTGTGAGCGCTGCAGCTTTTTTGGCCCGATCGCTGACCGGATAAGTTTACTCTGATTTTAATCTTTTTTTTTTTCTTTTTTTCTTTTTTCGCTTTCGGTGCACAGGTTCTTGCAAACAGGGAAACTGGAAACCGGAACCCGGACACCATTTCCGTTGTTAACGGCCATCGTAGCATCGTCAAAACCAATGCTTATGGATAAATGTGCTGCTCCATGTGCCACTGTACTTCACATTTCAATAATCACTCAGGTACATATTTAATCTCCACCTTCGATCGTCAAAGATTAACGATAGATATGGCTCGCTTCCTACTTTTTTTTTCCTTTTTTTTCTGTAGCATCCATGAAAGAAATATGCATGAATACAAGTCTACACGAACGCAAAAACATATATACTCCCACTCGCACATTCCTCTTCCCATTTACACGTAGTGCATGTGCAAAACTCCAACATATCCACACCATACGAGGATTTGATCCGACCCGGCTCGGTCTTGTAAAAACTAGATGTTAAAAGCATGGTTTTTTTTTTCAATTGTATTTTTATTTGATATCTAAGTTTTAATATGTTTTTGACTAAAAACCATACAATCATCGTATTTTTACTATGATTAAGATAAAATATATCGAATACAAATTTAATAATAATAGTAATAATTAATTAAAATTCATGAGCTATTATTTTTTATATCTTCTCTGACTCAAGCGAGTGTAAGGTGTGGCATGAGAGCGAGCTCGACTCACGAACGATCAACAAGTGAAAGACCGACCCCCTCTATTAGCCTCAGTTTTGTTGCGAGATTGGTAATTGCGACTCACGAGCAACATAAGGCGGCTAAGTCGCCTACCCCTCATTCGAGGGCCCACCACCGGTGTTGACACCCGCCATAAGAACACTGAATGCCTAGCTTTGCAAAGCTGCTCTCTCCCCTACCCACATCATAGTGTAGAATATGATATTGAGGATATATGTAATAATCCCTGAGAATGAGAATGGAGAGACTAAAGAAAATGTCGTACATAAAATTCAAGCTGGGTGGATATATATTTTTGGAGCCTTATATAATCATCAAATATAAATGAAATTGAAAGAAAAGTTCTATAAGACAGAGGTAAAACCAATCATGCTTTGTAAAAAGAATGTTGGACGGTCAAAAAACGACATTATCCATAAAATGTGAGTAATTGAGATGAGAACGCTGACATGGACAAGTGGCAAAACGAAAAAAAAAGAGTATTCGAAATGAATCCATCTAAGAAGACATAAAAGTAACTTCAATAGGTGATAAAATCATAGGTAGTCTAACTTTATGCAGCATTGACTTAAAACAACATCAACTAGGATGAGTGATTTGGTTATAATGGAAAGCTCTAAAAGACGAGAGAAAAGCCAACAAAAAATGAATATCAATAGTAAGAACAAAAATAAAATACGAATATCATTAGTAAGAAGAAAAACAGTGAGTATGTCTGATTGAAGATACAGCCAACCTCAAAAAATTTGCAAACAAAAATATCAATATCAATAGAGTGGAATGGTTGACAATTTGTGTAGCCAAACTCCATATTTTGATATAAAGCTATGATGATGATGATGAAACAATTGAAACCCAAAACTAAACATCTCGTTTCATACCAAAACAATGACCAATAAATATTATTTCACAATTTTCAATTCAACAAAGGAATCATTTATAATGTCCTTCCATATTTCAGTATTCCATGGCGCTTTAATTTCCTTCCGCTCATTCAAAGTTTTTGTGTTTTTGTCATGAAAGAAGAAGTCTATAGTAATACTAACCAAGATAATGGCAAATACCAAATGAAACCATTGAAAAGACAAGCTTGGATTAGTCATCTCTCTCTCTCTCTTTCTCTCTCTCTCTCCACAGAACCACATAGGACCAGAACACCGGAGCATTTTTACATTAATTGACAGTTGAAGTTCCATAATCTGTTCACAAACAAAATACCTGTATATAATTATGGCCCAGGCAGCCTTCTGGCAACACAAAATGTTACATTCAGCATGTCCACTAAGCTATGCAACTCTAATGGCAACAAAAAAAAAAAGCCATGCAAAAAATTCAATTCACTATCCAAGACGCATGTATAACCCATGATGATTCCCCAACAAAATCAAGGGCCTTAGCGCACGAGAGAGAGAGAAAGATTGTGGTTTCGAGAAGAAGGCTAACCAACTACGAGAGATAAGTAAGAGGCTATCCTGTTTCTTGGCCCCTCTGCAACCAAAATGACTTGCTTCACATGAGCCAAAGCCACAAGCATACAAAACCAATCGATGGATGCAAAACTAGGCCTCATCTTCATCATCCCCATCTTGTTCATCATCGTCGGAGTCATCATCATCGGAGCCATTCTCATTCTTCCCCTGATAACAACGAAGTAAGAATCAGATCGCTCTCACACCCATACACATGCACATGCACGCACACACGCAGACCCTCTCTTTGAATCTTGTTCTTGTCTAACCCAAGACAAAAGTACGAGTGTGAACTGCTGAGCTTCTGAATCAGAAGCCTAGAAATGACAACAACAAATCATCCAAGCACCACCCGAAATGGAAATCATCCCATCACTAATGCGCAAAATAACAGTTACTTATTTTCCTAAAATATAATGGAATAACTTCTTGATAGAAGCACAATAGAAAAGAAGACTCACTAATGCATCATCATCTTCTTCCTCATCCTCTTCCTCCTCATCCATCTCCTCCTCATCAGCATCCTGTATCAGATAGCATCATCCCTTCAATTAAAGAAAACAAAATATGCAAACTAAAAAGCATAATCAGATAAAAGATGTCATTCCATAGAAAGAAAAAGGAAGATAATCTAAAAGAAACCAAACAAAAAAAGTAAACAGAACTATGAGGACACACATTGTTAAAATACTTGAGAGGATTAGGCCACAAGTCTTCCTTAATAATCTCAGCAACCTGCAATTTTTAGGAGTAACCATTAACATTCAGTTGACAGAAAAATATGATGCAAGAAGGAAGACATAACCACTTAAACAATGGATAAACTACCAAGCTTTTTCAGAAGTACAAAATATAAAGCAGGGCTAAAGCATAAAATAGATCCAAAAGAATGCAGCATTTCGTGGGATGGCTAAACAGAGACCCCATTGACTAGGTAATGTAAAACAAAAAGGATTGTCTACAAAGAGGCTATTTCTCTTTGTTACAAGTCGTTCACAACTATTCCCACTCATTAATGTCAATTAGATGGCTTGGGGTGAGTCACAAACTCCGTGAATTTTTTTTTTTTGAGTTTTGTGTCTATTCAATGATGCTCTTACAACTACACATTTTGAAAGTTAAAGGACATGAATGATTGTGACCTTGTACAAAAATAAATGATCTCTTTGTAGACAATCCCAAAACAAAAGATAAATTCTCTTTGTAGACAATCCCAAAACAAAAAGACGACAAAAAAAACAAAGTTTTGGTTCTTACCTCGTCACAAACAATAGACTCGTCCTCACTCTCTGAAAGACCACCATTTTGTCGATTATCACTGAACCATGAGAAGAAACTGCCAGGTCCACCAAACAAAATTGGGAAGTCAGATCACTAGGAGCAATTCCGCTGTCAGAGCACATGCATGTGCACACATGCAAACATAGTACTAATATCATTCACTTCCATTCATCTCAAGTTGTACCTAGTAATGCATGCTAAAGAGTGAAAATACAGCCGCCCACTTCCCCTTATTTCATCTTATAGAGGAACACAAGAGAGTTATGATGAATGTCGCCAAGGACAAGTGAACAGCTCAGCTCTCTAAAGAGAAGTCAACCGCTAAATTTCCCCAAGATCCCCATACTACCACACAGAAACTCTTCACCAAATACCCAAAAACTCGAATGAGTTGCCTCGTCAGTGAGTCTCTCTCTCTCACACCCACATACCCATACCCACACCCACACCCACACCCCCACCCCCACCCCACCCCCACCCCCACCACACACACACACTCACATTCCAACCCACCCCTCCCCTCCCCAATTGCAACTATTTAGAACAGTCTTGAGTAGGTGTCCTCACTGAGTAAAAAGCCTGACCAATCTTGTATCCGTAACTTGACTTACTCTATCCCAAGTTTCGAAGGCAACTCGGCTTTCGGTCAACATATGTTTGGCACTCGACCAACAAACAGCAATTTGTAATGTGGTGAATACTGGTATTTTGGGTTTTCATCTTTTCTTTTCATTTTTGTTTTGTTTTAATATTAACAGGGTAGTATGAAACCCAAGCTGTCATATTGTAGCACCCTGCCACCCTGAACACCCAAGTCTTGGATCCATTCCTTCGGATTTCATCTAACTCACAAAATGGCAATGTTTTATGAATGGACACGTATGTACATTGATAATAAAATGGCATCCAAAGGTGCCACTTCAATTGTAAATAACTCTCTGGTCAAAGCACCGGTTTCTATGAATGAAGCAATGGCATCCCCCAGATTTTGTAACGCCTTTCATTTTATCTGATGTTGCTGGTGTCTCCTTGCCAAGGGTTGTATAAAATATGTTCATAACATCTTTTGGTTTCTTAATAAAACGGGTAGGGGCCCGATATCCCCACTGATTCACCCAAAAAAACAAGTTGTCCCCCAATACAATGCCGAACCATGGTTTACAAGGCATCCAGGAAAGGTCGTGTACTCTATCAGCAATCTGCTTAGCCTATTTTTATCTCTACATCTCATTACTTGAACCTAGAGGCTAGAGTTACATGGGATGAGAGTGACATCGGATGTGCCTATTTGCATGTACACACGAGTCATAACAACTACAACTTTTTCTTTCACATTTCACACACTAACACATATACACCAGGGAGATCCATACAAGGAAGCAACTATGGAAATGAAATTCAAAGCGTTCAGGGTAGGCAGTATAAACTATGGAATGATAAGAATATGAGAGAACTTATGGTAGGGGAGTGAACACTCTAGGTCTTCAACGATGCATTAGGTGGTAGATAAGGAAACCTTGTTGCAAGAGAACCAGGGATAAAGTAGTATTGCACCATATGTTTGGGCAGGATTTGGGATGTGGCTGAGATGAATAATATTCCTAGGATTCTTCGTGGGGTTGTCACGTATTCATTACTTGAGGAGGTAGATTGACAGGTTTGGATTGGTCCATGGGTGCAAGACCATGATGTCCTCCTCCATTACAACACTTCTATAGATCTAGATAGTTTTGTATCATCAGTTCATCACTTGCAGCAATGCACCATTATCAGAAAAGAAAAGGAACTTCCTTGGATATTTAGAGAGGCTTTAACCTCCCTTTTCAAGGAACTAATATGACCTGGTAGCAAGAGCTCTTGCTTTCATCCAAGAGAAGAAGGTTCAACAACCCAATGATAAAGAAAGTCTACAGAAGTTAGGTGAAAACATATTCTCTAAGAAGTAAATTGTGAAAAGTAATAAAGGTAAGCAAAAGTGTACAACATAGATATTTTGAAAACCATACACACAATTTCATTATTTTTTGGCAAATGTTCCAATAAAAATCACCAGATTTTGACTTCTCATTTTCATTTACTTTTTGCAAATCTAAAATATTTTTGTGGACTCTGTGATCAAGGTACAACATAAGTACATTTCCAAAAAAACAATCAATGAAGTTATAATTCTCTCAAGTCCAGACTCTAGACAGATCATGTGGTAAAACAAAAAAGATCCCAAATAGATCAGAAAAGACCTAATATCAACCATTATCAAAATAAAAAACCCAAATATCAGCCTTTGTCAGAAGGAAAAAAAAAAATCTGCCAAGTAACTAAATGAAAGTCCCTTATATTCAAAGACTAACCTCTCCTCAGTGAAAGCCCTCTTGCCCCCTTTTTTCTTGTGATCAACACCATTTGGCATTTCCTTCAAGTGTCACATTTCACATAATAGACGAATTTTTTATCACTTGAACATAAAAATATTTGTGCAGAATATAATATAGGGAAGAAACAAACTGTTTACCATGCCATCTTTCCATTTGATAGTTGTACCAGTTATCTTGCTTGTCCCTTCATCAGAGAAGGAAATTGTTTTTGTGAGCTTTGTGTTTTCAAAATAAGGATTAGTCGAGAAGTTCTGCAGCATTTCAAGCAAAAGCAATCAGAACTCTAATGCACACCCATATAGAACTCCAATATAAAAACATATATCATACCAATCCAGAAGATTGAATTTCCTATTTCCTCATGAATATATTCTTGAGGGAGGGAAGGAGGAAACCATCAGTAAGCCTTTTGCATAACCAAAATGACTTTAAAAAGTATCCCAGGAAGAAAGAAGAGACTCACAAATGCTATAGAATAGCCAGATTTCACGTCTTTGAAATCCTGAACATCCAAAGATTGCAAATACTTGAAAACCTGGTAAAGCCAAAAGATTTCAGAGGATTTGAAACACCAGCACTCTTACAGCTGTATAAAGAACTATTTCATATTTGGTATCTGGCAAAAGGTTAAATCACTCCAATTGCAATAAAAACAGTAAAAACATAACGAAATAAAATGTTCATAAACTGCATCTATTGGTAAGTCTCAAAGCAAACCTTCTCATCCTCTTCAGTTAAAAGCTCACCTAGTGCAGGGTGACTTTGGAACTGCACAGGATAACATTAGAGATGTTAATTCAACACATAGTGTCCAGCAGGCCATCTATTTGTTTTGTAATTACAGAGATCAATATTTATATTACGAGTACAGGCATTTTAAAGCCGACGATTTATGATTGAATAAGTGGAAAGAAACAAGGGCACGTTACAAACTGCAGTTAACCAAAAGTCAGGGATGGTTTGAATGATTTCTTTTCGTTTATTGTAAACAGGGCGGCGTATCTCATTATACTTTTGTTCCACCTCCAGGACCTTGTCACTTGCTTCCTCATTGACCTACAAAAAGCATCAAATAAATATATAAAACTCGATAAGGGAAACTCTATAGCTACCTGCAAGGAAAATCAGGTCATCCTAGGTATAGTATAAGAAAGTTTTAGGTAGAATCAGTTTATTTCAAAACAAGTCTAATTTTATGAGCATGTTAGTAAGCATTTATCTTAGACATGAAGCGAAGACCAGTTACTAACTTGTAAAATGATGCATTGAGATAGTTTTTTATTTTATTTCGTTTTAAAAAGGGAGGTGTGAAATTATCTCATAAAATCATTAATAGGATATGTGGTTAAGATTTTTGTATCCAATTACATGTGGTTGTGAATACATTAATGCTTTACCACAAATAATGGCAAGAAAAAGGTAAGCATGTCCAAGCATTATGTTCGATCGGTTTATTGCTAGAGCTCATAATTTACCATCATGATGATTAACCAATGAAAAACCAACAACTCACATAACTTCTAATTTTTACCAAGGTGATACCAACTTGGAATTGGACTCCTCCATAACTCAGCAAGTTTCTTGCGGATGCCAAGAAACAAACCAACCAAACTATAACCAGTCAATTTATCACCTATCAGCGATGTTTCGGAAATGTGTATTCATAAGGAAAATGCCAGAGGATCCAAAGACTTCTCATTGGTGCAATCTCTAGGTAAAGTACCATTATTTGGACTCACTCCCAAACAAAGCTCAAAAAAACACTATCATGTCACTAATGATGTCTCCAACTAACCAATTGCATTTAGCTAAAAAATAAATCATTTATATCTGCCATAATAAGACAAAGTATATGGAATGCAAGTTTAATAATAATAGGAGTAGAGACGAGGAAATAGTTAAGATTGACGGCCAAGAAATACCAAAAAGAGCGCACTTCCGATACCTTGGGTCAATAATCTAGAAAAACTGAGAGATTCAAGAAGATATCGCACATAGAATTAGTACTGGGTGGGTAAATTGGAGATGTGCAACTGGATTTTAAAGTGGTTGCCGCATACCATTGAAGCTGAAGGAGAAGTTCCATAGGACAGTTGTGAGACCAGCTTTACTTTTTGGGGCGGAATGTTGGGCGATCAAGAAACAACATACCCATGACAAGAGTGTAGCTGAGATGAGGACGTTAAGATGGATGAGTGGCAAGACAGAGGGAATAGAATTCGAAATGAAAATATTCGAGAGAACTTGTGGCTCTAATAGGCAATAAGAGAAAGTAAACTTGGGTGGGCTGAGCATGTGCAACACAAACCCAATGCAACAATTGTTAGGAGGTGCGAGTTGGTTCAAGTAGAAGGCTCAAAGGGCAAGGGGTAAAAGCCCGAAAGGATATAGTTGGAAGTAGTTAGAAAAAATATGTGGACTTATGGCCTCACTACGGGTATGGCCATTGATAGAGCAGAATGGAGAACCATGGTTTGTGTAGCCAACCCGAAATAGTTGAGAAAAGGATTTGATGATGAAGATGATTAATATCAACTATAAATAATTGTATTACTTCCAAAGAAAATTTGTTTAAGCAACTGAGGAGCCAAAATGTGATCAACAATTGTTTAAATTACATTCCCACACATTTTCAGAAGAACAATTAAACAAAATGAGTATGTTTAGGAATTTTCCGAAACTTTGTCTCAAGCACCTCTCAAGGTGGAACAGGACCATAGGTGCCTCACCTAGCCCGAGGTGGCTGCCCTAGGCAGGCCATATCTAGGCTTGCGCCTAAGTGCCCAAGGCAATGCCTAGTGCCTCATGCCCAGACGCCCATCTGGGCCTGCCAAGGACAAAGGTGGAAAACGCCCTCAAGCATTGGGCATGTTAACCATTTCCCCTCACATTAAGCGGAGGACAACATTTTCTTGGAGGGGTGGTTTGGGGTATTCCAACCACCTGCCCCCTAGTATTGCTACCTAATCCCAGATTTAATCTGAAAAAAACTTAAAGAATTCGTTTGTTGAAAATTTTCAAGAATCAGAAAAGAAAAAATCTTTGTGAAAACATATTCGTTCCAAGTTTTTGGAATTTGATTCTTTGTGAGATATCAAAAGAGGTTACAAGAGTAGATTTTGGTTCATGTTCTCTATATTGTGGACATGTGCCTATGTAACTGAGTAATTTGGGTTTATGAGCCATCAGCCATGTGGCATTGGGAATGCTCTAATATTTGTGCTTATGTTACATGTGTTCTGCGACATGTGATTTAACATTTACCTGATTACTTTCAAACTTTGAAATTGCACTATCATTCAAATTTTAAATGATCAATTGATTATGCATATGCCTTCTACAAAGGGTAATTTTTGTATATCAACCTTACATTATTGAGAAAACTATGTCAAAAGATGCACTTTCAATGCTAGAAAGCCTTGCAATGGAATGAAATCTATTGTCACCCCTAATTATGAAATTTAAAGGTCAAAAAATGATGCAGATCGAGAACAATTTTGAAAAATGGACGGTCCAGATGATGCATTACAAGATGCGCTATTTTCATGACTACGACTTCTTTTTTTTGTTTTTTTGATATCCATACATCTCAAGGTTGAGATGATCAATTCGAAGGTATTTGAGCATCGGAAAAACCTTTTCCGATGGGTTTTTGAGGCAAGACTTACTTCGATAATGGAAGGTTGAACCACCCTATGTAAACTTTTTCCTTCTATAGAAAACAAAATTAACAATATGCATTAGTCATAAACCTCTGCAGGAAAAAAAAATTCAGATTGAGCACCCTCTGATAAAAATGCTCATATCTCCCAAAATATTAGCAATTTATCTTTCAAACTTTTCTGAAACTAGACTCAATTTCACAAAGGGAAAACAAATTTTCCCCATAGGCCTTTACTCATTTATGGTCATAATACCCCACACTGAACAGTGCAACTTTCCTGGAATTTTTAGGGACAGAACTGGCATGGCCTAAAGATCACCCAAAATCTCCAAAATTATAAATGGTCTGCCACTGAAACGTTTTTAGCATGAAACTAGACTCAAAACCACAGAAGAAAAACAAAATTCCTTACACAAAACATGACTAAAACATGTCCTACTAATGCTCCTAAAACAGTAATTAAACCTGAATTTCTGATAAATTTATGCATGCATTGTCTCAAGGATCAATGCCTCTTATGCAACGTGTCTTTGCCACCGTACGACTTCAAAATGAGTCCCCCATTATTAGAGACTCGATTGAATAGTAAATCAATGCAATAGCGTTCGACTTTCATCAGCATAGATTCGAACTTTATTTGGCATCTCATGCTCTCTTCATCTTGGCTATCACAAGTATCCCGTTTCAAGTGGTAAAAACTTCAAACACTCAACTCCCATGGTTTTATGAATCTTGCACGCTCTAATACAATCTAAGACACTAAACTTGAATGGAAATGGAGATCCAATAGAGCCAGCTCTGACACCACTTGTGAGGTGTAGATACCCGTCTAAAGTTTCACAAAAAAAAAACAAACTTTTATGAAACTTCATGACCGGCTTACTGAGGGGCTCTCAACTCCTAAGAGACCATGTGAGGCCACTCAGTGGGTCGCCCACATATCGGCAAACTAATTAGGTTCGCATTTGGCACAGCTATAGCCCTTTGCACATAGTTTATGAATCTATGTAGGTATTCCAATATTCTATTGCTTCATTCCCTTATAATTGGAAATCAAGAATCATACGTTGTGTCTAGAATCAAATTTAATAAATAGTAATATCCGTGAGCGAAAACCGCAAATGTTTTTCTTTATTTTTACATTTTCTATAGCGGCTTGAACAATTTCAACTCAAATTCCACATAATATGGAGAAAACCCATGAATTTTTTCTTTCTTTTTTGGCATTTTCCATAGCTGTATCAATAATTTCCACTTTTCCCAAATGCATCAACAATTTCCACTTGTAACCCACATATGATGGATAAAATCCACAAATTTTTTTCTTTTAATACTGCTGATATTTTCTTCAAGCATTTCCACTTTTAATCCATAGACACAGAAAAAACAGCAAAACGTTATGAACTATGGAAACATGCACTGGCTCCATGAAAACTGAAAGCTTAAATCACCTTTTCAAGCTCATCTTGTATCTCCTGCAACCTTTCGATGGAGAGAACGAGCTCCCCGTCTATGTGCTCAAGACCCTCCTCTTCTTCAGGTGCGGAGACCTTAGCCTTCTTTCCCTTGCTCAAAACCATTCTGCAAAACCCTCTCCAAAACCCTAATTTTGTTGCAGGTCGAAGCCCAGGAACCAGTGAACAAGGAAGAGAGAGACCTCCAATTAAGAGAGCAATAGCTCTTTTATATGACAGTTCCACTTCCCTCGGCTCCTTTTCATTGCATATTTGCGCCAATAGGAAAAAAAATACTAAGCACAAATAGTTGATTAGTCTTATTGTATGAAGGGAAATGTAATCAATGTTACCATCACCCTAGCCCTAAAAGTCCCCATATTATTTATGTGTGAAACCCTAACCCTAGAGAACTTAAAGATGTCATATTTTAGGAATGGCATTGTATACTACCATATCATTTACTATACAATAAGGTTTTGCCCTTCAGATGTAAAATCAGACGGTTAAGGGTATGTTATAAAGTTCTGAAAACAAAAATTAGATTTCAAATATAGTTACGAGTATTAATCAACCACCCAACTTCGTATCTAATGGTAAAAGATAATTTTGACCATTTTGTAGAATAGAATCCTATTGTATTTCCCTTTTAGTGGACCTTGACTATAATCCATGAGCTTCTTATACCCTAAACAATTCTATCCAACATCATGTATACATAGACCCTACCATAAAGAGGCTAATGCACATGAGTTGTGCCCTAAGCCTGAGGAGCATAATACTCACGCAAAATATGGATAAGTTAACCCACATACTCCTCGATGAGAACAAGTCAGCGGATTATGTGCTTTCTCATGAGCATATTGTACATTAATTCTCTTGAGTAAAACACTTAGGAGAATTGTCTTGAGATGCAACCTCCTCGATTATATATAGTGGAGACCATCCAAAATTGGATGATCATATCTAAGTATTCAAGAACTTAAAATCTTTTTATTTCTTCTTTTTCTGTTTTGGAATACTCCTAGATATAGTAAAGTGGATCAAAAAATTTTAAAACAATAATTTTTTTATGAATAGTTCTCCAGCTGAATGGAGTTTGCTCGAGTAGATGCTATGCACATGCTCCCGTTGACCATTTCTTTACACTTTATCAGGATTCATGCCTTCCTTAACCGTGTATTTTTCTCCTCAATGCCCTAACCACCAAAGTGCCAAATCAATAGAAAATAAACCTACGTGGTCAAAATCCAACACTAAGTGCCCAACTAAGGTTAAGTATTAAAATAGCCTTGACCTTTCTTTTAATTGGATATAAGGGGTTTAATGTTTCTAGGCTAACAACATGGATTTTAGATATTTGTTAATGCCTAAAAGAGAGGGCAAAATATGGAATTGCCCTACTAATGTTTTTTAAAGGGATTGTACATTATAATATTATTTATTTTTTTATATAAGATGGTCATAATCATTCATAGTCATCAGATGTGAAAGTCAATATCTAAAGGGTCATTTGGATACCTGAAAATATATTGTTTGTAAAATATATTACTGGTATAATACATTACCTGCAAATAGATTGTTGTTGTTTGGGTAGTATTTAGATGCAATGTGGGAAATACATTATTACCGTTTGGCTATGTCTGGAAGAAATATGGGAAATGCATTACCAATATTTTACTAGCATTTGCCTATAAACTATCATTTCTTTCTTTTTTGTCACAAAAATCCACGTAAATACAAAATTAAAGTCATCATCACACCGTTCCAAAAAGTTTTTATAATAATAATATCATCACCATTCCAAATAGATTTTCTAATAATAACTTATATCATTCTAAATTCATCATGTTACCATTTCATACATTTTGCATGCTTTTGGCAATTACATGGAATTACATATCTTCTAACATGATTAGACTTTGGTTTCAACATGATAAGTCATTGGAATAATATGATTGGAATAACATGATTTTATTGCGATAAGCTTTATTTTTATTTATTTACTACATAGTCTTTCAAATGTCTCTCTATATAATTTCAAATAAACAATAAATTTATGATACCAAATTCAAAATCTTTATGGTACAAGTTAAAAAATGAAAAAAAAGTTTGATTAATAAACTAGAAGGTATGGTAATTGCAGTAGAAAATTTTGAAGTATTGGAGGAGACTAAATAGATATCTTATTTCAATTGAGCTTACTAATCTTTTATGAGAATTATGTTGTATGAAATTTTTTAGTATGATTGTGTTGTATAATTTTTCATTGATTACCAATTATTATTTTTATTATTTTTGTTTTTATATTATTGTTGATGGCATCTATGGGTTACATAGAGAGATGTAGAAATGGATGTGAGCTACAACCAAATTGGGGATAGAGAGATGTATAAATGGATGTACAAATTTGGGATAGAGAAATGTAGAAATGGATGTACATATTGGGGATAGAGAGATGTAGAAATGGATAGATAGATGTAGAAATGGATGTGTGGGTTATAACCCAAATTGGGGATAGAGAGACGTAAAAATGGATATTCTCAGTAAAATATAGAAATGGACTCAAATTAGGAGATAGAGAGAGATAAAAATGGATGTACGTAGAAAAGTGTAGAAATAGAGTAGATAGAGAGAGGTAAAAATGGATGCAGACATAAAAGTGTAGAAATAGAGTGTAGAGTAGATAGAGAAAGGTAAAAATGGATATGCTCATAAAAGTGTAGAAATAGAGTGTAGGGGATAAAGAGATGTAGAAATGGATATGCTCATTAGCGTATAGAAATGGATGTGCCTAGATGTGCCTGTGCAAACACTTACAAGTGGAGTTTAGAGAGAAAGTGTAAATGGATATGCGTATGTGTAAACATTTATAAGTGGAGTTTAGAGATAAAAGATGTGCATAGGAGAGAGAATGATCGGAAATGGATGGGCACAGAAAAGAGAAAGTAGAAATGGATGTGCCTGTGCAAACACTTACAAGTAGAGTTTAGAGAGAAAGTGTAAATGGATGTGCGTATGTGTAAACATTTTTAAGTGGAGTTTAGAGATAAAAGATGTGCACAGGAGAGAGAATGACGGGACATAGATGGATGGAGAATGGAGGGATATAGAAGATTTTTTAGGTCACAGACACATTAGATTACCAATGAAGCACATAATGGATTTTACAGTCATGGAATCTTATGTAATCTATTTTTATTTTTTTTATCGTGTATCCAAACATGCTAATTTCATATTTCTTGCTAATATGTTTATCTGTAATAGATTTTTAGGTACCTAAACAGCCCCTAATGGTGTGTGACAAAGTTCATATATTTTTTTTGTAACTTTGGACTCGAGGATACTCCTAACAACTCAATTTGATATCCATCACCTAAAGTTGATTGTGATTTCCTTTTACCAAAGATAAATAGTTGCTTTGTATATTTTTTATTTTGTAAAGTACCATGATTCTCTGCTGCCAAGGCCGCATATGTAGAAATGCGGACCTCTTAATAAATATATTTTTGAGATGGATTTTAAAACTGAATTTTTTAAGACATGTATTCTCTAACATGGAGATCATGAATATAAAATAAATAAATAAATTTAAAAAACTAGAAATAATAATTATATAAAAAAAAAAAAACATTTGAACCGTTGGTTTCCATTGTGTTTAGATGCAACACTTATTTGTAAAGATGGATGCTTTACACTTTCTTATCTGCATATTTAAAAATGCGGACCAGCCAGCATCAAACAATTTTCCTTTTGCATATTTAAAAATGCAGACCAGCCAGCATCAAACAATTTTCCTTTTGTGAATGATGGTATCATGTTGAGATATTTCATAGGGAGAGTCAATTTGTGATGTTAGTGATTACGAGGCATATGACCATGAAAGTCATCCGCACCACAGGTTCAACGGTGATGGAGAAATAGTGCAGCCCGCTAAAGATGACATGAGTTGGAATTGAGGAATTGGACTCACTGCCCCTCCATCACCAACCAATTCATTTAGTGGACCATGAATAATCTCAAGACAACAGAGACATGTGGCCACGAGGAATCTACTATTCAAAACCACAACTTACTGCTGCATACATAGGTTGCTAGTCCTCACGAAGGTTGCGAAAATTTATTAAAATACCTATAAGAATTGAACTATTTAACAATTATGATTGTATACTATAAGACCATTTATTTTTACTACAAGGAGCTCACAATCATTGTATACATTTTATTAACAATTTGTCATTTTGGAACTGTTTCAACTCAATAACTTTTTTTTTTGTTTTTTTAGGTATTTTGAAATTAAATCAAAAGTTATGGGGTAAAGACTTAATTATTAATCACTCGTTAGTAATTTAATAAATTTTCCCAACAGTTATATCCCTAAACAACATAAATCGCTCACAATCCCATTCCTCAAAACTCAAAAAGATTAACTTGGTGTGTCTTATTATCATCACGAGAGCTTAATGCCATGATCACTAGCAATCTCATTTGGTAATTCAACCATATGGGGTTCCTATTGCATCATATGGTATATTCATTATGTATTTTGATTCCTTAAATTCGCAGCGGGAATGTGTACCAGAAGATCAATTACTTTGGTGCAAGTAATAGAGTCTACTTTTAGTGCAAGGTCATAATAGCAGGGCTGAGAATTTACTGATCTAGATCAAAAACTTGAATTTCAGATCCTACTCGGATCCGAGTATTGATATGAGATTTGGATATAAAATTTGGATCTGGATCCAAAATTTAAATCCAAATAGTAATTTCAATCGGATCCAAGCATAGATGATCCAATTTGGATCCGTCAATTTTTTAAAAACTATATATTGTTGTGTACGTATCTATATATATATGTGTGTGTGTGTGTGTGTGTGAAAAATGAACAGTGATTTCGCCTACCCTCATCTCCATCCAAACTTCATTGCACAATCACATTTGTCCAAAAGTGTTTCAATTTTTTCTTTTTTTTTTTTCTACAAATCCAAATTACTTGAAATTTGGAGGATATGTACATATTAGTGAGGCGCACCTAATA